GGCTCCTGGCATCGCTACTAGGAACAAGGACGCTACTAGGGGCTCCTAGCATCGCTACTAGGAACAAGGACGCTACTAGCTGTCCCGGCTCAAGGCCGCTCAGCTTACGGACTGTGGAGTCCCGGGGGGTGCTGCGTTGCGCGAGCGGCGGGTGCTCGTCTATAGAGGCAGTTTCCTTCCATTCTGCCATCCTCGACTGCAAGGCTTTTTGGAACGGTGATTGCCTCTTGTGACGTGCCATGGATTCGTGTACTGGTGTGCTTGATGACCTCTTGTCGGCTCCCTGTTCTGCGAGGACTAAGGGAATCTTCAAGGGCCTAGACGGTGGACCTGGTGTGTTTTGGGATGATCTTGGTGTTGTAGCTGGATATTTGCGCAATGTTCAGCTGCACTGCATTGAGATTGATCGTGCCCACTTTGTCAAAGGGACTGGGTTCGTCTTCGATGAACTGGCTCCTATGTGCATTGAGATTCCGCAAGTTTCTGAGAGAGCTCTTCCCTTCTGCTGCGGTGATGCCATCCTTTGCTGCGGGAAACTGGAGCTATGCTCTGAGGGTGTGTGGCGGACAACGCCTGATGCCACTGTGATGAAGATGCCCATCTTCGATGCGGCAGAAGCATGGGATACTATTCATTTTTTCGCAGGCGCATTTGAGGGTTGGACACAGGGGCTTTCGTGGCTCCCAAGCGTTGTCCCCTCCTTTCGAGTGGGACGACAAATCCATGTGGATCACGATGATGAGGTAGCACTAGTTTGGAACAAGAAATACAGAAAGCCTTGCCTGCAAGGGCCCTTGGCCCCTTGCACTTCGGTGGATCCGGCTATGCATACAACTATCCACACGCACATTTTTGACCATTCGATTTTTCATGTATGCACACCTGTTGCCAACCTCTGCTACACGGCTAGCCCGCCATGTCCCACTTGGTCGCGCAGTGGAAAGAGTGCAGGCATTGATGATGCCCAAGGATGGGCATTTGTCGACCTCATCAGAATGTGTGTCGCAGGCCAACCGTTGATGATTGCGATCGAATGTGTAGACGAATTGGTCAATCATCGCCACTTTGTCATCCTTCAACAGTTGTTTGAGAATGCCGGATTTGACTGTACTTGGCAAGATGTTGTGCCTTATCATATGCTCGCACATGTGCACAGAACTCGGTGGCTCGGAATATGGATGCGAAAGGATGTTTTTCGACGAGCTGCACGGTCCTTTCAGCCACTGAGAATTGAGCGAATTGTGCCATGGTCAGCCCAGCATTATAAGTTCGATCTTCCCAGAGTGTTGCAAGAACAGTTGTGCCTTTCGCTGTCTGAGGAAAAAGTCTATGGTGACCCTAAGCTTTTGCCTCCTGCCAAGCAGAGGAAGCTTCCGAAGAATGCATCCTGTCGCGATGTCCTCAATGCAAGAGTGCAAGATCCATTTGTGGCGCTGCCTACATTGTGTGCGTCCTATGGCCAGCAGCATGAGCTTCCCTTGTCACACCTTGAGCGCCAGGGCATTTTTGCCAATTTGGTTTCCACGGGGCCTTCATTTGCCTTTGTTGATCCATTCACGCATGTTGCCCTACTTGGTGCTGTTGACAATGTCGTGCTTCCACTCAAAGCGGGTGTTGCTTTCCGACAAGTTGGGAACGCCATTGCCGTTCCTCATGCTCTCCTCACGTCAGCCATTGGATTTCACACCTTGCTTGCTTGGGACCTTGATGTGAATTTGCTGGTTCGCAAATGTTGGGATGAGAGGCTCACGAGTTTCGCGGCTTTCATTGTCTGTGATGGGGGCTTTATGATTCTTTGCTCTATGAAACAGTTCATCCGTGACTTCCATGTGGTTGCGGCCTTGCAACCTTTGGAGGTTGACTGTGTCCGAGTTGAGCTCTGTCATCGCAGGTCTGGAGATGTGCGGACTATCTTCTTGCCTTGTGCTTGGAAAGTGTCCCGGCTTGGATCGATCTTCCAGTGGACTTTCGATGTCTCTTGCCAAGTTTTTGCCCATCATGAAGACTTTCGGAACCTGCAGTCGTTCAGCTTGCGTGAATGTGCGCAAATTGTCAGGCAGTGTCACATCTGTGTCCATGGCATGCCCTTCTTGGATGTGTGCCTTACCCTACATACTTGCTGCCAAGAGTCCCTGCTGCCCCAGTCAGCCGTTGTCATTAGTATCTCGCCCACCCTGTCTCTTGGGGTGCCGCTTTCGCAACCTGGTCGTGCAGTTGACCCTTGTCCTGCCCAGTTTGATGACATCGTTTGCACAAGTGCTTTTCGCTCCGCCCTTGATGTGACTGAGAAATGCCTTCGCATTGCTGGTGGTCAACCAGCTATCATTGCTCTTGCGGATCCGCCCAGCAGCTTCTCAGCTGTCGTGCCATGCATCAATCGTGAATCAACCATCCCCGAGGATTCTCACCGCAGTCTTAAGCGCCTTCGGCTCACTCCAGCCACACAGTTCGATGCAAGTGCTTGTGCTTTCTTCTTGCCGCCATGTGAAGATTGCTGCACCAATCCCTGGTTTGCCTTCAAACGCTCCAATGGAGGTCTTGGGGTTGCAGCCATTGATCAGCAGCCCGTTCACTCTGACCTCTTGATTTTGAAAGACAACACCTTCAAGATCTCTACATGCAACGGTCAGGCTTGGACTTTGGATTCCAACATCGGTCATGGCGATTTTGTGTGTCTTGCGTTCCAAGGCCCGGTCCGTGCTGCTGGCCACCATTCTGCGGGCCCACAAGTCCTCGCTCCTGGTGCGTCCTTTGAGACAAGATGTGAATTTGCGGTCAATACTTCGGGCTGGTTGGCTGAAGATGAAATGAACTTTTGGACGCAACATGTCCAGTGGACTGCCCCTGGATTTGCCTTCTTTGCTCCCACTGTGACTTGGGACCCTGATGTCGCTGATTTCGTTTTTCCAGCACAAGATGAGTTTGCGGTGCCGAACAACAAATTGACCATTATCCCAATCCTCTATGGCTCACATTGGGCGGCAGTTGAAGTGAACCGAGCTTCCCATCTTGTCACGGTTGTGATTCTTGGCTTTCCAGGGCCATTCCATCCCGGCGTCCTTGCAGCTGTTGCTCGCCTCTTGGACTTTCATCCCAATCGGCTTGCCAGTTCTGCGGTTGTCCTACCCCCATATGCACACATGTGTGGGTGGTTATTGCTTGACAGGTGGATTCGTGCTGCTTCACTCCAGGACGACCTTCCTCCACCCAATGATGGATTTGAACAAGTCTCCATTGAGAAACGAGGGCTGATTGAAGAGGTTCTCATCGCGGCAATCGAGGACTGAGTTGCTGCTGAAGTGCCCACTGATGCGTGGATGCTGCCTCTTAAGTTGCGGCGAGCCTTTTTTGCCCAACTTGCACGAAGTAGTGTTGTGCACGATTCTGTGACCACCATCAGGCTCTTTGTTCACTTTGTGGATGTGCACCAGGTTCCCACTACTGCGGCTACCTTCCCTGTCCGGCCTCATCCAGCAGTGCCGGATTACCATGTCATTCGCAGATTGTTGAAACTGAGAGACCAACCTGGGTGGCTTGCCTCTGATGAGCTGGATTGGATTCTGGAGTATCCGCGAATGGTGCTGCCACAAACCTATTTTTGCCCTCCTGCTCGTTGGTGTCCTGTTACCTTTGCCTTCGACTACTTCCAAGGGTTGGCTCCGGACTTTCGTCACCATACCAGCGTGACCTGGTTTGTCATTGTCGATGGCACTTGGGTTTAGCTTGATTTGTCTGTTGGTGATGCGTGGGCGACTGTTGGTGCTACAGGACTCAAGACTCTCTTCT